ACATGTCCAGAATATTGTCTAGTCATTCGGATGGGATGACAAACTGAGATTCTGAATACACACTGGCGTGCACGTAAAAGAACCCTTGACAGTTGGAATTCGATATAAGAGTAGTCCCTAGCACCGCTCACGCTGTCCGGGTAAAATTTCCTTCATAGCACACTGTATGGTGTATGCCTATCTTCATTAGCCGAGTGGATGCAGAACAGTAGGACGTTAAACCTCAGTTCATGATATTCTAACACAGCAGTTAATAAACCTGCTGTTAATAAAACTAACTGTTTAACAATCTAGCAGATATTCCACAAGGTTATTTTACACTTGTTAGAATGTCAACAGGACTGAGTAACTCAACCTTATAAAAACATTTCACAACATTCACCAATCGACTGGAATCAGACTTTAACCCTAGTGTTCTAATATAAGTTTCAGACAAACTTGGAATTGTTCTTTTTTATCACGATAAAGACCTACATATTGAGTTCATTTCACACATCAGAACAAATGTCGGCTTTTTAGAAATTCACCAACTAAAAATAATTCAAGGTGTAAAAATATTTGTTTTATCCAGTTTTTGATACCAGAAACATTTTTAATCACAAAAACTAAATCTTCAATATTTTAAAGATTCAGTCTTTTACTCACTGATAAAATCCATTTAACCATTTTAGGTCTCCCTTAAATAATGACAGAGCAACGATTGTTGATCGCCATTTCCACCAATTGTGATAAAAATATAATTTTTGCAACAAAATTTTGAATCTAGCAATTTTTGGGGTGATAACTGTTTTCTTTAAGATATGTTTACTTTTCATGTCATCTATCCATTACACATGCTCAGTCAATTATCACTCAATTGGGTTATCAATAAAAGGTCTATCTCTTGTCTATTAATCAATAAAAGGTCTATCTCTTGTCTATTTATCAATAAAAGGTCTATCTATTGTGTATTTATCAATCTGGGATTATCATCAGATTGTGGGATGAGATTGGCATTCAAAGCACGAGATAATGATATAGACATGTGATATCACAATTAATGCTTGAATGAAATGAATGTGATTGTTTTAATTCATAATAAAAATTGACGTCAAATTTAATTGCATATTGCCGGTGTATTTTATCAGGGCTGTCAAGAGGGACTGCGGCCAAGCGCAAAAAGTGGCCTTCTGCACCAACAAAATAAAAGTACCGATGAAGGTTGGATTTTAGCGGCATCCTAGAGATAGTAGACCCACTTAGAATGTAAACTTAAATATACACCATCAAATACTGCCACACCTCAACTATACTACAAGTATGACGAGTATATTATACAGGGTACAGGTACAGTATGAAAAGTATATTATACAGGGTACAGGTTATGAAGAGTATATTATACAGGGTACAGGTTATGAAGACTATATTATACAGGGTACAGGTATGAAGAGTATATAGTGTAAAGTTAATTATAGTGTAAACCTGCTGATAATATCAAGTAATAAAAGTAACGCACCAAATAAACCTACTTATATTATATTTACAGTACTAGCACCAACTGATATAACTACAGTCTACAGGTGAAAACAACATTACACTTATACTTAAAGTAACACTTTAAAACAAGTGACAGGGCTGCGCGGGACAAGGAATGAGTGGGAGGACAGAATGGGTCAAGGAATAAGTGGGAGGACCGCATGGGACAAGGAATGAGTGGCAGGATGGCATGGGAAAAGGAATGAGTGGGAGGACATCATGGGACAAGGAATGAGTGGGAGGCCGGCGCGGGATAAAAGCACCTGTTTGTAAATCAAGGTGAAGAAGAGGGATGACCATACATACAAATGATAGCTTATATTCTCTGGAGAATTACAAATCGAGGGACAATAATAAATTCTTGCGAAATAGATTTATTTTTCTTGGAATTGAGCCAATTATGGATGACGAGAATGATGTGATTATTTTCTGAGCAAGAATTTATTATTCAGAGAAGAAAGGAGTGTAAAATCTCATTTATTTCATGGAGAACACTTAAACCACATTACTTTATGACCATGTCTCAATACAGATAATATTATATTTACCAGTAACTGAATTGAATATTAACAATTTTTAAGCTTATAATAAAATGCACCTTGCATTCATTATCATCATTTGCATTGTTCAGACAATATCTAAATGTTCACTCAACTGTAATCTAAATGATGATTTTACATTTACTTGTGAAAACAACATATCTCCCGGATTCAGTCAGATAATCTCCCGGATTCAATCAGATAATCTCTCGGATTCAATTAGATAATCTCTCTGATTCAATCAGATAATCTCCCGGATTCAATCAGATAATCTCCTGGATTCAATCAGATTAAAAAGAGGCTCATCAAAATATTATCAGCTGAGGATGAAAAATACTGGTAAATACTGAGGAGAATTGAAATATTTTCGACTAATATCCCTTTTAAAGATTTAATTTTCACAGTATTTTAGTTCACAAGGGATTAACAATCTTTCATATGATCAGAGACTTAGTGGAGGTAAATCGGTGGTATTTGGCACCTAGAAATTTACACAAATGGGTCAAACGTATATAATAATGTAATATGAATGTATATAAACTGATCTTAGGAGGGACTTATGGAAGATTAGTTTTTTTGCAAACTAAATAAGTTGCCTCATTAAATAAAGTTTTTATTATTATTATTTACATTCAATCGTTTCTGTTTTTACTCTAATTTCAAGTCAGTTATGTTCGGCGAAATATGTCAGACCTCTCAATCAAATGTCAATCTCTAGCATCTGGTTATTCCAGTCTACACAGATAGTATTTATTACGCATGTTCTCCAGATAAGAATATCGCGTCATCATTTAACATGACTCGTGGAATATGTCTAGCCTTGTTCTTTGAGTTCCTTTGTCACAAATGGTGCTTAAACGCATTATGGTACACAATTCATGTAGCCTACCAGTGGTAAAATGTTTATTTTGTCTTAAACATTGGATATTAGAAGCCCATCTTTCCCCCCCCCCCCGGTAAGATCACAACATCAATGTTGATTTAAACTGACAAAAATAATTGTGTTTTCAATGTTGAAGACTTTGGATGATATTGAGTTAGAGACTTAGCTACTTTAAATCTAAAGTTTGCTTCATATATGATGAGAGATTGAAGTCTGAAGTTTGCCTGGTATGTGATATACATGTACAAACTGTTGCTGAAGTTTTTCACATCTATAATTATTACTTGCTGGAATGAAATACATGTATTAGGCCTGTTATATCAATTACATGTTAAACTTCTCATCATCCCCACCTAGAACTTACACAGCCTGATGTAAACTTTTAATCAAAACTCATTAAATTATTCAACATGAAGATTACAAGAAAATGTCAAGATAGATGTGAATTATAGGCAACCACCCACAACGGATATTCATTGGGTCAGGGTCAAGTTTGGTGTGACATTTAATCAAGATTGACAGGAAGTTACAACACACAGCCTTTTTCATTATTCAGTTTTTATTGACAATTATTGAATGATTAAGGTGTGATGAAAATGTTTTAGGTGTAAAGGGTATATGATTGCTCTTTCCCCTGGTAGGGTCTTATACATGTATATAGTTCATTAGGGTCTTGTACAGTTTATATAATGCAGTTATTGTTTTTTAAAGCAAGTGATCGCTTTCGAGCGCCCGCCGCTCACCTTAATGTTGACCAAGGGCAGTTTTTTTCCCTCCCCTTAAAATTGAAAATCGCTCTCCTTTCCAAAGTCATTTATCAAACCAGGAATGATCCCGCTAACATGCAGTTATTGACTCAGAACTATTTCCCATACATAAAACTAATCACTCTCCTTAATATCAGATCACTCTCCTTAATTTCTAAATCATTCTTCTTATCAAAACTGGGAGAGCTTTTTTAGGGGAGCGATTTTTTCAATTTGTTGATTGAGGGGAGCTTTTTGTGGCTCTCCTCTGAAATACAAAAAACAACAACTGTATATGGGAGTGGATGTATAATAAGGTAATATACACAATGATTTATATTTATATAGAGAGAGTTACATGTATTGGTGTATTATACAGGCTGTATACTGTATACATGCAGACTGAGGTGTATTATACAGGCTGTATACATGTAGATTGAGGTGTTGTGTAGATTGCAACTTGTGTTTGGAAAATATTGGTAGTGTGTTATGCACAGGGATCATACTCCAGTAATACAAAATTAAACTCCATTTTAAGGCCTGGATCCATTTATTTGATTTGATATATGTAGGGCCTATGTTTCATGTTTATTATTTGCAATGTCTATTTTGTGTGTTTTGTCTGTGGGTTTGTCTTGTGGCTTCTCCTGCACTTACCAAATTATGCACCTTCTCACAGCTTAGTTTGTCTGATAAATATAAATTGGTACAAATTGCTATGTATCAGAATCCAACAGTCACCAGAGGGACTGGGACAATTTACCCAGTTCTGCCAGAACAGACCCAATTAATTCTGATATTTCTAAAATATGTCTCAAGGACTTTACATGTATGTAGGCCTGCTTTTTATTTCATTAAATTCATTTTATTTCGAATGCAGATTATTTATTATAACAGAAGAAATTATTACAGCAATAAAATTAAAACACCCACTCATACATGTCATTTCAATCGTGATTTTTTAAAGAAAACAAATCATCTTGACTTTTTGAACATGTTGGAATTATGTTGAAGAAATTATTCACCGACTCAAGTCAAAGAGTTTCATCTTTGGTGGTAGGCTACTCGCCTGCAAGCTAGCGGAGTCTGCTATCTTTAAACTCCAACAGCCGCTATCAAACCGTCATATCAGACATAAACTTCTCTCTCTCCGCTGAAAAGTTCATGATTGATTACGAACAAAGCACGTGCCAGTCGTACAGAAATCATGAAAAGAAATTTAGTCAATTTAAATACCGTTAGCTCTTTGTCTGCACGTGCAACTGACCCATTTTCAATCCCCCCACGCACAGGATATATGTAAAAAAATGTACTCACGCCTTCTTGAATAGGGGGAACTCCTGTACTGTGACCCTTATTCACTCACTCAGTTCACAGGTCAAACATGGCCGAGTGGGTTTCAAATTTCTACTCCAGCACTCCACACACAGGCTTTGAGAATCAACAGTTGAACTGAAGAAAGTCGCCGCAAGCCTTGAACAAAAAAAATCGCTGGGTGTTCGCGAAACTAATCCACAAATATCGAGAAAATAAACACAGATAGTTTTATGAGTGTTTTAAAACTTATTAGCTTATGAATCCTGGTGGGACATAACGTTGTTAAAAGTACAAATCCTAAAATACTAGATCCCGTTATTCTACGAGATACACGCGATCAACGTTTACACTTACAGCCACAACTCTTTTGTCTGTTTACAAGCGCGTGAAGCATGAGTCACGTGACGTGATTTACTAGGGAAATATCAGTATGGCAAACGGCATCGGCAACCCTTTGATGTTTCAAATAACATATTGATACGTAGAAAATGATTTCTTTTTAAATAACCGGCGATTTATCCGATAACTTATCGTTTCTTTGTTTAGTAATTAAGGCTTTGGGTAGTAATTTGGGTAAATTAGGGGACTTTGACCGATTTGATTGTATGGAAATTGTTTTTCACGTTTCGCTGATTGAGTTGCCTGCCATTCAAATAGAAATTAGTGCCAAGACCAGTTTAGAATTGGTCGACGTGAATGGATTAAATTAGTTCTGTGGTTGGCTTCAAGACGTTTTCACCAAGTTATATTGTCGGGGATACCCGGTTTTATTTACAGGCTATTGGAACTTGAGAAATATAGGCTTACAGACCTTTTTAAAGTTTAATTAGAACTTCATTTAAAAATGTGGGACACGCAGAAATTGGGAAATAAGAAAGATAAAGATATAGGCCTATATAGGTCTAAAATTACCTTTAAATATCTTGTTTAGAATGAATGAATGAACAACGAAACCAAGAGTAGGCTATAAATAAATGAATGAACGTATGTATCACTAAAGTAAATTAAATGTCGGTCTGTAAAAGAAATGTAAAATATGCGCCATTACATGGCCGTGTCGACATTTCACACATTTAGATATTGACTGTTACACTGTAACCGTAATGATATAATTTACATCCCGCCCAAGCTATGGAGCAGAATTCACGCCTTACTTAAATATATAATTGGCTATTCGCACATGATTTACACAATATTTTATCCAATAATTTACGCACATGAAACGGTATTCAAATTTTTTTTATTTTGAGAAAAATTATTTAATTTTGAACAAAGGTATTTAAGCAGAGAGGTGAATAAACGCCCTGGCAAGTCGATCACGCCACACTCTAGACGTTAACAATTTTAGTCAATATTCGGCATAAACAAACCAGTGCCACCGATAAGTGTTAGGTAAAATAATTTGCTGGGCCTCTTTTTAATCCTGTTGAATCCAAGTCTGCAGATTGTCTAATTAAATGTCTAATAGAAATAAATTATAGCCGGTATAAAACCGTGAAATATTAGATATTATAATTCTCCCCAAATCCAAATGACGATCATACCATCTAAAAATAATCTAAATCACTAAGTTTAAAAAAGCCATACAAATTTCAATTCAATCTTCAAGGCAATTTGTTTGCGAACTTTTTTATCCGGATTATAAGGAACTAAATTGCAATGGAATCCCCTCGAGATTAGAACAGGATATTAGTTTGGTTGTTTTTGTTCGTGTAATGGAACAGACGAGAACATAGCGGTATCTACCACCGATTATTTTATTGAAGTCTGGGGACCATAGAGGGAATCAAAACATATTCTCTACTTTATTAATCTCATATAAATCAAAGTAAAAGAGAAAATTGTATTGATAAAAATAGGACGACATGGTTTTTTATTCTGTTCAATAATTAGCGAGTTTATTGTAATGGTGTTTTACTTGGTTGTCATAGAAACATCTTGTATATTACAATAATCCACAATAAATGGATTATTTCCACGACTTTAATTTTCTTTCAAGGGTTCTTTAAACCCTGAAAAATACTTGTGATTTTGGCCATCTACTGGTATATTTATTGAGAGGATTTAGTTTATTCCAATTTAATTATATAAATTATGTACTCCACATGGGAAGACCTAAAAATGGTTGTAGACAGTCGAGAACTCGTTAAAATACACTTGTACAAATTATACAGAGTTGGTCGGCGACTAACTTCTAGAGAAATGAAGAGCTGCCACTTGTTAACTTTCAGGTTAAAGATATCAATAAGATGGGGTTTAATGTCCCACCCTTCTGCACCAACCGGGCTATAATTGAAGAGTATGAAGACAAGGATACGCCATACAGTGTGATGAGAAGGGCAGGACGTTAGAAAGTCAATTAGAGCCTAATCTTCAACCCTTCTCAAATAAAGTCATTATTATTATTATTATTAACCTTGCCCTGCATCGGACATTCCTGCACCCTCGACAAGGTGCTGCCAGCCCTACACCCACGACAAAGTGCGGCCAATCCTATAGACACTCTGGGTAACTTTCTCAGCCAATAACCTTCTGGTTTGTAAGCCACCACCTTATTCACTGAGCTACCGCGGTTACCGTTTAAATCTATAACACATAGATAGCCTTTTTACATACAGGTGGGGTCACCTGTTTCATCTAAATTATCATAAATCAACCAGACCTTGGAATAAGGCAGGCAGAAAATGGGAAGCGTGTGGATTGAACCAAACATTTTTGATATCTGATATCGTCCACGTTACTTAAAGAGGTTCACGTGGATAATTTTAAAAAGTCATCGTAGACTCGATGGTCTACCTAGCCAAATGTAAAGAGAATTGCGGAATCTTAGAGTAGTTAACTTTGATCCCAATTATTTAATTCCAATCCGTTTCTCACCTTGGTATTATTATATCTACTGAAAGTGAATCAGTTTCAGACGAGTTATTTGCCCCTGAGTTAGAAATTGGAATCAGACCAGTTATTTATTAATCTCGCTTACGAAAATGAACGTACGAGACTTTAGAAATAGTTTGATGTTATGTTTGAAATATCTTCCACGTTACAGACGCCTGTGGATGGAAGAGCCTGACTATACCTGTTGAATGGATGGAGGAGCCTGATCGTGTTAATGTATTGACATCTATCTGTTTTTTATTTTATTATAGATATTTAATCAGACGAAGGAGGTTAAAGTCGAGTGATCTGTTCTATATGCAAGTCGTGGGACCCAGTGGGAACGAAGCCCGAAGAAACCCGAGATTTTGCTCGGCCGTTGTCAAACAAGATTGGAACTATTTAAATAGGGCGTGGTTTTTACTCTGACTAGAAACACGTGTTGCACGAGACAAGATGTCTGTTGTTGAAACCATGTATATATATATATAATAATCTCTACATTAGACTTATTAACATAAGTAATTAACTTCTTTTATAAACAATCGTAAAGCAGCGCTTTCACTCAGCCGAATAGAGATTCTGTAAGCCTTTGCACTAATGGTATATCTATAGGCTCCCAGAAAGACAGTTATGCGTTATGGCTCGTTCACCGACCGCCCCTTACAGAGTTTCTCTTTACTGCTAATACAGTGTTTTAATTGAACCACATTTTATTTTATATTTTAAATATGATATATAAAATTAGTTATGTTTATTTTCTTGTTGAACAGGATAACGTAAAGATACACCCGCTTATATAAGATTTAGAACAAGAACTGGCGGTACTTGCTACACTGAAAAAACACTTGTGTTGGATCTCAACACAAGTACCTGTGTTAAAACTAATCTACACAAGTTATGTGTTGTTTTGCATTGCATTAACACAAACTTGTGTCGATTTATAAAATCTTGTGTGTTTTTTCATATCATTAACACAAGTAATGTGTACCTTCCACGATTTGTTGTCTTTTTAAGAAAAAAACTCCATACAAAGTCTGAATTCGGGAGTCGTCAAGTTTTAAGAAAAGTAATAAAGGGCTTAATTCACATCTCGAAAATCACATACTGTTCTTCACTGGAAGGGAGTGAGTACCAATTAATCAGACAATTGCCAGACAGACTTGAATGTTAATTGGTGTTAAGTTGTCTGTATAGTTAAAATGTCTGTCTTTTTTTATTGACCCAATAAACTGATAGACCAAATGAATATATAGTGTACATGTGATTTTCAGCACCCTGGTGTTTTCGAAAATTGATTCAATGTGCAATGAACAAAAAAAATGAGTAAAACTCTTAATAATGTAATTGGTTGATGTAATCGAAATTGGACAGTATTGGTTAACTGAAAAGTAACCAATCAAATTTAATTGATCATCCACGTGTATCTCATAATCGACTTATTGATATAATGGTTCTCCAAGTTATCTATACTTTTTGTCTGCGATATCACTTCGGTGGAAGCGGACGTAAAATACAACTAACTAAGAAGAAGTATCAAAACTTTAGTCATTGCGACAAATTCTTTCTTTGATATTATATCAGCGACATTCAGTTAGATGTAGTGACGTTAGCATCAACAGAGTGCTTTAGCCGTGATATTTTTAAAAAAAATATTATAATGGTCACATAGAATACCAGACCGCAGGTTTGTAAATTTTTACAAAAAATGTATTTAATTTAGCATGTATATATTGCTTCTATGTATATAATAATTCGTTTCGTTTAAAACAGTCAGATTTAGAACCACTGCCACTGACTGCACCGGAATTCTATTTATATAATGGCGCCACAAAGAAATTTTTTTTGATGTGTTCTAAAAGTGTTCCGCTAATTCAGCAATCTAATGATTCTGTCTTAATTTTTCTGAAATCGTGCTTAATTATTATTAGCTAATCGGCGCTACACCGTTGTTCAAATACTTATAATTGCAAGAAACCCCCGACCAGGACCAGCAGGTTAGAATCTGTCTTGATTTTATAGTAATGCCCGGTTGCAATTATTGGCCGCCATCTTTGATTTTTATAGACGTTCGGGCCAAAAAAAAGGAGAAATGTATATCCAGACATGGACTATAGCTAGATACTAACTTTTGTGTTAGTTGTTTATTTGAAATGTAATCTTAATATTTCTGTAAAAGAAAAAAACAACAACAAACAAATCAGCCTTTTTTTTATATCAATGTCATCAATGTGTAGGCCTAATAATTAGACTTTCAATGATTCAGAAGTTTCTCTACAGTTTCGTTATTTTTTTTCCAGTCATTGATGTTAGCATGTACTACACAAAGAAAAACAGGTAACAGAATTTCATTTCCTTTTAATATATTTTTTATATAATGGCCAATAATTGTTATTGTATGTAACAGGAAAAGTATTTATCTCTGTAGAGAGAGGGCGAGTAAATGGGGTTTAAAATTCACTAAATTCACTTGACACAAACTATGCCATTCATTTCCTTGTATTAAATTGGTCGAATCAAGTAGGCCCATGCTTTATGTCCTAGAATCAAGTAGGACGGGTTTTTTTCTTCCGTTTCCGCCCTTTTCCTGAACACTGTCTCATTCTATTGCCATCTGTGTATGTTGTGTTATATTAATTCTGCATAAACCTAGAGTTGTTGTTAGTGTTTGTCGGATAGATCCTTTATACTTACTGGCGCTAGGTAATTTTGAGGCTAATATTGTTCAATTTTATTTGAATGATTTGCTTGCGCGTACCGTAGGAGTGTATTAGAAACAGTGTTCGCGCAGGTTCGAGAACGGCTGAAGAACATGAAAACACTTTCATGAGTCTCGAACATGAGAGAACGGTATCCATGGTAACAAGATGAATTAAATTTATACAATCTGTTACGATAACTTGTTTGGTATTGACTTCGCTATTAAGCATACTTATGATAAATTATGACTCCGTTTTACTCCTTTTCAATTCTTTGGATGACGATTACATCACCTTTTGATACGCCCACATGGAAATGTGGTCGCATATTGTCATCGCCCTCGTCCGTAGGTTTGTCCGTCGTCTACAGACCTGATTATTTTGAAATTGATATGTTGTTTATTTTAATGAGATGAATCCTATTTAATTTCAATAATTTCCGTTAGTTTCTTCTGGAGTTATGGCCCTTGTTTCACTTTGTGAAATTCATTTGCATCTTTTAAATTAGTAAAACGAAGACGTCTATTAAATTTCTGCGATTTCCGTGAATTATGTCTAGAGTTGTGGCCCTTGTTTCACTTTTTCGAACCTTGTGAACGCGCGAACAACAAAATTATCATCCGATTTGTATGCATTATTTAAATTAGTAAAACACAAAACAAAAAAGCTGTCAAATTTCAACAATTAAGGCCCTTGTTTCAGTTTGTAGAACCTTTGTAAACCCACAAACGACAAAAATTATAATCTTTTCTTGTAAATGCCCACATTACCTACAAAAGAATGAATATGCGACAATCCCTGTTGACTGAGCAAACGATTAAACTGCTGTGGGCATATGTTTCGTTGCCTGGCAACCTAACTTATTTGATGTTATACTGGCCACATACTACATCCAATTTTCGAACGGTATTAAACTTTTAAATTAATAAATGCACCCATGATGCTGTTTTCTCAGCAGTTATCGATACGTCGACCATGTTTGTTCTCCCTCACACCAGCTATGAGGTAGTGTGGGATTTGAGAACGGGAACGTGTTCGTGAACGCATTCCAGACTGCTCAAGTCCGACAAGAACCCCTTCTCCGTCCGTTCTCTGCACCGGAACACTGTTTCGAATACACCCTAGGGGTATTTAGCAAAGGGAGGAAACCGGAGGACCCGGAGAAAACCCACAAGGCTGGACAGGCGACCTTATTCCTAGTCACATTCAAGTGGGGAATCACATAATAATTGCCTATTTCAAATAAGATATTTGCATATAAAGAAAGTAGGCCTACAGCCTCTTTCAAATGTGATATTTGCATATAAAGAAAGTACAAACTTAAATCGTCAGTGCTGGATAAACTAGCCAAAGGATTCGGCTGAATCAATTGGCGCTAAACTTCACCTAGTTTATCCACTGACATACGCCCGAATCAAACATGTTTAATATATTTGGTCGAATTGTATTTGAGTGGTGTGTCCGGCTGTCCGCTTCGCCGAAGCATTAGCCAATCACCACTCATTTATATCGAGTGGGTATCACCAATTGGACCTCAGGTTTTGTGTTCCATTGAAACGACTAGAAATGAAATGGGGTTTAACGTCCTACTATTTTGCTCCGAACTGGGCTAATGAAGACAGGCATACACCACACAGTGTGCTATGAGGGAAATTTTGCCCGGACAGCGGCACTGCGGTGTATCGAATTCCAACTGTCAAGGGATCTTTTACGTGGACGCCAACGTGTACACGGGACCTCGTTTTTTCGTATCATCCGAATGACTAGACAACTGTCCTTGTCAGGCCCTCCATCCTGCATCACTGACAAGGGGGAACCACGCCGGAAAATCTGGGTGAACTTTCTCGGCCAATGCAGGGATCGAACACCCGACCTCCAGGCTAGCGAGCCAACGTCTTACCCACTAAGCCACCATGACGACTAGACAGGGAATCCATGCTGAAAAATCCAAATGAGCTTTCTCGGTCAACACTGGGAGCAAACCTGCAACCTCCCGGGTAGCAAGCCAGTGCCTTACACACTAAGCCACATGGCTCTCTTCTAATTACTGTGACAGTCCAGTCACATGACAAACAAGGGTTATTAAAACAGATTTTCACGGCTTCGGTAAGATCTTCGGGATTCAAATGGTTTTAGATATCACACAGTTTGTATATGGTAAGGTATCTTAAACAGTTAATTACATGTCACATATTTATATTTTTCAGTTTCCATATTAGATGCCATAGCAAATCAAAGATCATATAATAAAATAAGTCAAAAAACCCAAATATGGGAAAAAAAAGAGCTGAAGAAATGGTGATTTGAGCACCTATGATTTCTCATAGTTGTTTTTTGAGGGTGAGTGTTCAATTCTAATAGAAAAGATTGTTGTTGTGGTATTTTAGAATCTCACCATAATGTGTTTGGCACAATATAGCCCGGTTGGAGCTGATGTGACATAAACCTTAATTTCATTTTAATATTTTGAAATTTAAAATTCAGTTTAGTATAGTAAAACTGTGAAGTACATGTATGTGCACAGACAGAATCTTACTTATGTCCAGATACATGTAGATATGACTATCTCATCTGTGGGGACCTACGGTGACCAAGTGGGTTAGACACTGGTTCGCATATTTTAAGGTCGCGGGTTTGCAGTAAGACAATGCAGAACGGAGGGCCTTACAAGGACAGCTGTCTAGTCGTTCAGATTGAACAAAAAAACGTGGTCCCGTGTACACATTGGCGTGCATGTAAAATAGCCCCTGGCAGTTAGAATTTGATACAAGAGTAGGCCTTAGGGTCACGGTACCCGGCAAAATTTCTCTCATAGCACACTGTATGGCATATGCCCAACCTCATTAGCCCAGTCGGAGCTGAACAGTAGGACGCCGAACCCCATTCCATTTCATTTTTTTCATTTTGTCTCATCTGTGACAAAGCAAACCAACACATTACAATGCAATGTAATTAAATTAAAACTTTCATCTTTTAACTGTCGAGTCGATTTAAGTCAACTAATACATAGTATGTTTTTTTTCTCCGTTAACTACATCAGAAAGATCAAGACAGTTGAAAATGGCTATTCATATTATGGAAACTTTTTCTCACAGAGCTTGATAATCAGGTAAAATGTAAGTAACATACATATTTGTATTTTTAATCATCAACTAGTTCTATACACTTGATTGGTAATCTAGTTATTCTTCTTGGGGAAATACCTAGGACTCTCCTATTCAAGTCTTGGCATTCTTGATTTTTGACAATCACATCCATTGATTTTCTTCAAGTTGTGATAGACCCTATGTGTATTTTTACAGTAAATAGCAGTATAAAATTGATGGACAATATTTTACTTTTCAAATAGATTTTAATAGGTAATATCCAATTTGTTGTCGATGGAAATAAAATATAATAATCTGCCTGGGTCTGTTACTGGACAAGACACAATAAGTGTTACCCAAAGATGAAACAAAATAGAGACTCAGTCTCGATGTGGCAAAATAAATTGTTTATTTAAACATTGTGAACCATAAATAGTAAGAAAGTATTCTTATTGCCTACTTTTTATTTTTTAGGCTGGAAGATTATTTGATGTATGATAACAAGAGATCCCAAGCATCAATTTATTTTAAAATTCTGGAAAAGAATGCATTTGACCCAATTTTTGAATATTTATTTTTTGTTTTTACTGTTAAATATTCTTCCCAAACACAATTAGATTTTAATTCTCTACAGAAATTTATGTATAATATAGAATGTAAGGTGACATATTAATCACTTAGAATTTGGTCGGAAATCATAAAGTATTTAATAGGCATAATCTAGAAACCAAATGTAGATCAAATATACCCAAAATTACAAAATACCTTAAGCCTACATTAAGGTGACTTTCCCTTGCTTATGAAATGAAATAGGGTTTAAGATCCTACTTTTCTGTGTTAATATGGTGATTCTGCCCTACAACCTACTCTTATATCAAATATTTCAACTGTCAAGGGTTGTTTAAATGGAACCCAGGAGGGCCGAATGGTTAACACACGCACATTGGATCAGAAGGTCTGTCATTGAGTCAGATAATTCAATTGTCAAGGGTTCTTTAAAGTAAACGCAGTGGGGGTAGTTTCAATTCCGGGCTTATACCCAATTATCCCTTGCCATGTCCTACACTACTGACGTGTGGGAACTATGTCGGAAAATCCAATTGAAATTTCTCGGCCAATGCCTTATACTCACTGAACCACAGTGACTCCTCCTTGCTTTTGACTTGTGATTATTTATATATATTTTGTACATATTATTTAATGTTTGCGATTTTCTCTGATATTTTTTTATTTTTCAATCCTGTAATCTTGATGCTTTGCCCCTTTTATGTACAAAATATTCATTTTGTTTGTTGTTTTTTTTAATGAGGAAAAGGTTCTACAGCATTTTATTACTCCTGCAAAATAGTGCATTTTTCTTTTGTTAGTTTTCTGTGTATGCTAGTTATTTCTAGATGCCTCACAAATCACTTGTAATATGACTTTGTAGCACTTTTCAGTTTCTGAAAGTATTTCAATTTAGTGCATAATTAATCTAATTAGGGCTTGGTTTGGATGTTATTAAATTTAGATATATTTGAATTATATATTTTTGGGGTATGGGGTAGGGATCTTTCTTTTCTCAGTTCTTGTTTTCGGGTAAAGAAAAAATTAAATAGCTACTTTGTATTTTGTGATGTGGGGGGGGGGGGGGAGCAAAGTATAACAAAATTTTTATTAGTATTAGAATTATATCTCTGTTTTTCTGTTAACATTTCAAATGATGTCTATTTAGTTTTGATTTGGTGGTGTTAATTTACTTTTTCCTATCATTTTATGAATAAATGATAATTTAACAAATAAAATTATTGTTACCTCATTTATCAAACTTTACAGGTTAAACAGAGCAAAAGGGGTGGGGGCTGCATGGGAAAGATTGCTAAATTAAGGGAAAATAAAACACAAGTTTTGGTGGTGGTTATACACAAGTTTTTATGAAACCACACAAGTTTCAGAAATTTCAACACAAGTTTCAGAAATTTCAACACAAGTTTCAACACAAGTATTGTGTAGATTTTCACACAAGTTGCAACACAAGTTTGTGTTGTTTGGTAAATTTTAACACAAGTCTTGTGTTGTTTCAACATTTAACACAAGTTTGTGTTGATTCAACACAAGTTTTTTTTCAGTGTATTAAATGAGCGAACCGTTCTAATCTAGTTAAAATCTCTAGCATCCGATGGCATCGAGAGTTGATTATGCCATGGTCCTGTCATGTTAATAAATGTCGAATTAATGATTTACTTGTACTGGTATATAACATTTAAGACCTAAAGAAAGACCTACAATAGGTAAATGTACCTCTTGAATAATGTATGTTTTACGTCTTTAAATAAACCCTCTTCCATGGCCGAATGGTTAGCACGCGCGCGCTGTATCATACGGTCTGTCATTGAGTCATCTGGCTGGGTTTCGATTCCCCGGTTGTACGTGACAAGGAGTAGGGTCGCCTGTCCAACCTCGTGGGTTTTCTCCGGGTCCTCCGGTTTCCTCCCACTGCTAAAGACCCTTAAGCGCAAGCGAATTGTGGAAATAAGAGTTGAACCATATGTTGGTCCCGAAAAAAACCTAGTTTGTGTCGAGTGGACGTTAAACCCCTCTCTCTCTCTCTGTCTCTGTCTCTCTCTCTCTCTCTCTCTTCCACTTAACGTCTTTAAATAAACGCCTTTTCCACTTAACGATGATAAATAAACACCCTTTCCCGCCTAGATGAAAGGGTGTGTTTCTCCAAATTATACAGCGTTTCCGCTAACATTAAACTTCATTAATAATTTCATTTTGAAAACTCCCCGACAATTTGATTTAATCCTAGAAAAAACGCATGTGAGAAAACTGTGTATATTTTGTAAAGCCTGCACCGTTTCTTTAAGTAATAAAGCTTGTGTATTTAAAGTGAGTTATGATAGTTTCCTGTTTATAAAGATGTTCTGTTTCAGTCAGTACAATTAATGCTGAAACACAAACATACATTATTAAACAGACGGCTGATAATAATAGGCTAGAGGGTAGAATTCACTGTTAATTCTGATCTATTTGATGGACAATATTATGGACAAGAATTCATCATGTTGCTGAAATTTGTATGAGGTTGATCATGGAAATCTGTATGAGGTTGATCATGGAAATTTGAAGAACTATGTATGAACTATCCACAGTAACCAACCTGTTAACTCTCTTATCCTTTGGCCTCTAAATCATGAATATTTACATAAACCTCGAAGAAAATGTCAATTCAACCTCTCTCTTCCTCGATTTTATACTAACAAAATAACAACAAGCGACATACAAAAGCGAAGAAAATTATTAATACTTTTACAATCCTATATAATCCAAATACGTGTAGATGAAATAAATTCTCTAAGATTAAAATTAAATGGATATTAAATTAACAAAAGGGCAAGAAATCTATAAACAATAAACCGATGAAACTTGAACATGCTCTGTAATTCTGCGATATACAGAGTTGTATCAAATTTTAATATCTCAACGTTTAATATATAAAACGTCGGGGAAACAAACACGACAATTTGACGCACGGAAGTAAAACCTAGCCATCATCGGTGGAGTTGGGAGAGAATAATAGGAAATGAAATCGGGTTTAACGTCCTAGTTTTCTACACCAAACCGAATTAATGAAGATTGGCAAACGGCATGCGATGTGATATGGGGTGCATTTTGTCCGTACGACGGGCTTCCCGTCTACAGTCGTGGAATTACAACTTTCAAGGTTTCCTATAATATACACACCAAGATATAAATCATAGGCAATACAACTATAGTATTGTTGAAACCATTCCATACTCTACAACAATATCTAAGTGTGGCTCTAGGATATTTGAGACTTCAATAGAATGTGTGGGAATTGTGTTGTTATTGTCAATGAACCTAGTCTTCATGTCAATATCTCTGATAGTCTTCACCCTCCAGTCATTTTCTCCATTTCCTTTCCTTTCAATTGCAGTCAATAACCCATCAACGTGAACATCATATTTCTATATTATAATAGACAGACACACCAGCTCAGCCCTTTATACTCAATATATTCACAGACCTATTTGTACTAAATATATTATACATATATAGCCGTAAATAATACTGCTACATTCTGAAATGTAGCCCCGCGTTCTGCGATGTTGTGCCACGTTCTGCGATGTAGTTCCACGTTATGCGATGTAGTCCATCGCTCTGCGAAGCTTTTTGAAAGAAATACCATCATTACACAAGGTATCGAATCGAATATAGTCATGTTTATCCTGTCATTCAGTAATAAACAATTTGACTGTTTTCGGTGTCTTCAAATCTTTAACAGAGAAAATGAAAACCTTGGTGAGAACTTAAACGTTAACTATATTGATCCCTAGTCGAAATATCTGGTCTCGTCAAAACCTTGGTGAGAACTTATGTTAACTATATGGATCCCTAGTCGAAATATCTGGTCTAGTGACAAATGTTGTATAAAGAGTTTAATTGGCCCCTACGGTTTATTTTATTATTGTTGGCCTGAGGGCGGGTGGTGGTGGTGGTGGTAATGACTTTTTCATTCTATCACTGTACGGCAATTTTGATAGACAGGCGATACCTTTAATATCAACCTTTAATTCTTGAAACAAGGCACGATTCGACGACACATTTAAAAACAAAACTTGGTAATTGTGTTTCCATAAACCTGTATCTATAGGTAAGGCAGGACAGATCCCCCTCAATAACCACATAGCTTGAGAAACGGGCCATGTCCTCCACTGCTTCCATCATATGAACTTTTTTTGCCAGGAAATGCTAAAAATTGTGCCCGTAAAACTTCAACTGCGCCCGTAAAAATTCAACTGGGTTTCAAACTTCAACTGCGCCTGTAAAACTTCAAATGTGTCCGTAAAACTTCAACTGTGCCCGGAAAACGACAAGAATAATGTAGGAAAATTACAGGAAATCGTCTTCTGGTCATCACTGTATCGAGACATAAAACTTCTAGAATTGGGCTAGATCTATTAACTGTGGTGAAATAAACTACATGTATAGGGTTTAGTTTATGCTTTCTGGTTGACATATCAATCG